TTGCTGTGCTTTTTATGTGACTGAGAGCCACCAAATAACCCCTTTCAAAAACTCCATTTCACAGTAATTTTTTTGTTCATACTGAATCTCTCCCCCCCCCCCTTGTATATACTCTAAGTGCTCAATTAAGAGGTGGAAACCAGTTTGAGAATTCATAAAGACATTTTTAAAAACTTGTTTTATGGTCAGTTTCTTTCTAATTATCTTAGGTGCAATTTACTCTACTTATGAATATTTGAAAAACTTGATTAAGATGGGTGAAGATACCATTCAAAATGTATTCAAACAATAAATTTTTTTAAAAAAATGCTATAAAAGCATTAGTAATTAATCAATGAGATATTAAACTTTTACAATTCAAAATTGAAGTTTATTCACATTTTTATAACAAAGTTTTTTAGCTAATATTTACTGCTGACATGAAGTGGAAAGATTATATTGAATCAGTTGCTAGGGTGAATGCTGGGAAAGTTGGTATACTGTGTTGGTTTAGACAGATTCTAGTGAAAGAAACTATCTTACACATTTATATGTCTGCCATTCATCTATGCATCGAATATTGCTGCTACATCTAGTCTGGTGTTTCTGCTATATATTTAGAGATTCCAGATAAAATGCAAAGAAGAATCTGTAACGTTATTGGTCTTGACCTAGCATCTGAATTTAAGCATAGTACTAAATTGGTGGCAAACTCTTATCATTTTACAGTAGAAATTGCTAGGTGGAGCCATAAGTTCTATGCTAAGAGTTTCCTCTCTCACACTTCTTACTTATGGAGCACTTTCCCAGTTAACTTTAATCTACAAAAATTTAAATGTAATGTCAATCCTTATCTTTTGTCTTAATTCCTGTTATTTTAATGTTTTCTTTTTTACACATATAATCTTAGATTCAGTAACCCCTTTCATCTTATTGCCTTGCTGGGAGTGAAATGAAGAAAAAAAAAAAAAGAGAGAGACAGGAAAAATGTAAAATGCATATAAGTTGATTTTCTACAGATGTACTTTTTCATAGCAAATAGTCATATTACTTATATATGGGTAAAGGGCATCATGTAGCATAGATTTGTGTAGATAAGCTGGCAGTTTTGAGTTAACTGATTATGACCTGTTGCAAAATTGGTTGGAAATTCTCTGGAAATCTTGAATATGCAATATTTGTGATCAGATCATCAGAAAAAGCAATGCAAATGTTTCATAGACTATGCAAAAGCATTTTATAAGGTATGACACAAAAATACATTTGAACTGTTAGGAAAATTTGTTTTATTTGGAAAAGATATTAGAATAATCCAGAATATATACTGGAGCAAACTGCCTACATACAGATAGAAAATGAGTAAGTATGCAAAATCAGAAAGGGACATAAAACAAGGATGCATTTTCAAACTTATACCTATACAATGAGGCAATCCTAATAGAAGCCCTACCTGGATTTATTATTGGTGAACACAATCTTAGCATACGATATGCAGATGGCATGCACAAAACTGCAGGAACTCTTAGACAAATTAAGAAAAACTGGAAGAAAGGACTAAACATGAATTGTAAGAAGAATGTCTGGTTGTAAACGAGATGTACAGCTGATGATACAAACTACAAATTGGAGATGTTGAAATGAAGCAAATGCAGAGATTTTAATTACTTGGAATGTATTCTAATATATGAAGGAAAATGTAGCATCAAAACTCCAGGGTGAATTTGTATAGCAAAAGAGATCTTCCAAAAGTTAAACAAAGTAATACTTTCAGTATGAACAAGAGTGCTGAACTACTATATAATATCAATCCTCCTATATGGCTGTAAATGCTGGACAGTTTCCTTACAGATGAAAAGTAGACTTAAGGCAACAGAAAGCTGGTTCTACAGAAGAATACTGGAAAAAATATGTCACCAATGAGGAAGTTTTTAAGGGAAACTGAAACAAAAAGATACATAGAATTAGAAAGATAACAGAAAGAGCTGAAGTTTTGAGAACAGAATTTGACACTTATCGGAATGGGACAGAGAAACAGCAAGTGACCGACCCAATATGCTTGTGTAAATGGATAGCAACAGAAAAAGAGGGATAGTAAAGACAAACATTACTAAGAGTTATAAAGGAAAGTGGAAAGCCATGATCGCCCTAGTCCTGAAGGGATATGGCATATAAGAAAAATCTGTTTTCTATGACATCCGACAGTTTTTTTTGCAAATGCAAATTTCTAAATCTTAATTTTGGCATCTTTTTCCTGGAGCTTGCTGTTTATATATATATATATATATATATATATATATATATATATATATATTACACACACAGGGTGTGATAGATAAATTGTTTAAATTATATATCTGTCTGTTTTGTCTTTTTCTTGTGATTGAGACTAAATTTTCCTAAAGGAAAAACATCTGTGTATATTGAGAGTCACTTATTGAATGAACCATTGGAATGAAATGAATGCAGTTGGTTGGAGTAAAGAAACAAATTAGACACTAGTTTGGAGAAATGACCAAAGATTTATTTTCATTTACAAGATATGAAAATGTCTCTGGTAAGTCATATACTTTAGCATTTGAATGTACAGTGTATAAGGTGTGAAATGAGAGTGTGTAAAAGGAGTATAATTAACCTGACTGACTCCTTGTTGGCTATCAGTTTGGGCTTATCACATTGATAGTACAGTTTGTTCTCTTTCTATATACAGAGTAGGTTGTTTTCACAACCTATTGGTCAGACGGGCAGTCAGCTGTGCTCTCGGGCAACCTACGGTTAGCGTGTATGTGTGTATAAAGTCTCTCTCTCTCTCTCTCTCTCTGTACTGCTGTCCGGCTTCTCTTATAGCCTATATAAGGGAAATGCACTGATGTAGTTGTAGATATCAGTGGCAAGCGAGAGCCACGTCAATAATGGCTAGCACTTTGGTATATTTGTGTTTGTTTTTAAAATTTGTTTTGAGTAGAGTACTGCATGTGTGTGACTTAAATGAAAATTAGTGTGTAGTGAGAGATATGTTTTCTAATAATTGTATAAATTTGGCTTTAATTTTTTATCTCTAACTATGTGTAAATTGTGTTTATTCTGCTACACATTGACTGCCAACCATGAAATAATTCGTAGTTGGCAGTTTTTATTATGGTATGACACCAACTATGAGTTATCTTGTGCTTGGCATTTTCTGATACATTTTCATCTGTGCACGCCAACAATGAGTTTATTTACAATTATATTTTTAGTGTTAAAACAATGTTAAGACTTCAGTTAAAGCTATAAATCAACTAATAATTTTTTTTTTTTATTACCTAAGTTGGCTATTATAAAGTTGGCATTTGAAGAATGGATTTCATAATTGACCTCTGGCAGTTAACTTGTTAAGGCACCAAAAATAAAAACAAACAAAAAATATCAAATTTACTAAAATTATACACAGGGAGTGATGGATAAAATGCCATCTAAATTATGCAATTTGGTGTTACAAAGAGTTTTGTTGGTCTCTTGCCCACATATAATAATAATCAAGAGGGTTGTAGTCTGGGGAGATAGGTGGCCAGATGTAAGGGTGATATGGTTGCAGAAATTATCTGACAGCCATGACTGGGTTCTCTTGCTTGTGTGGCATAGTGCAGAGTCCTGTCACCAGACATAGGGTCTTTCAGCAGCCCCCTTTTGACCTATGACAGCCCTACCTCTTCAAGGCACTTGATGTAAGCCTCTGTGTTGAATCTGAGACACTGTGGGAAGATGAATGGAGGTATATGGCCATCATTAATGATCGTACCAAACAACTTCATAATCACCATTAGATTCATCCAACTCTTTACAAATCCTTTGCACTATCCTCAGATTGACACCCAAACACTCTGAAATGTTTGTATATGGTGTGAATGCCAAGCATTACAGCATGCTTTTTCCAAATTTCTGGTCAAGTGAATTGCGTCATGGTGCTCTTTTTCTCGCAGATGGTACCCAACTGACCCCACTATACTGTGCAGTTGACAAAATTAAAACAAAGAACAATATAAAATGATGATAATTTACTCATTGCACCCTCTGTGTGTGTGTGTGTTTGGTCTTCTTTTTGCATGGCTTCTTGACATGCCTATAAAATTGTTACATGCTAGCTGTTTTAATTATTAAACTTTAATATTACTAAAAAATCATTGACTTAAAAAATTAAATAATACTTTTCTTTGTATGAAAGAGAATACTGCCAACTGTATAAATACAAAATCCTTCTTATATATATATATATTCAACATTGGTTTGCATTGTTGATCTATTGATTTTATATTTTTTAAAAATCAAATTGATAATATTCTAACTAAAATGAAGGATTTAAAAAAAATATTTCCTTTGGTCATTTAAAATGTTTTTATTTAGTTATTAAAACTTTTCTTTTGCAATATTAACTGTTCAGAAGTTAATGTTTACGTTATATGTTTTAATGTTGATTTTCGAAATTATCATTGACATGTTTATTTTTACTTTTTTGTTATTGTTTTTTTTTTAATAAGATTTTACAGTTAAAATTCTTTTTGAAATTTAGACTTAATGATTTCATTTTGTCTTTTTTAAGATAACTTATAAAAAAATTTTTTAATTTAAAAAACTTTAATAATTATCCTTTTTATTAATTTTAATATATTTACATTACTCATTTAATAATTGCCCTTTGTGGTAACATTCCTTGACTACTACTTACACAAAGCTTTGCCTTTGTTAACTAAGCCATTTAAGTGATGCAGAATTATTTAATAAAGGGAAATAACTCAACAACACGCTAGTTGTAACTTGATCTGTTACTGCTGCTTAAAGCTCCCTCCCTTTCTGTCTCATCTCTTTTACCATATAAAACTAAATAAATTTTCTCGCTGCACAGACTATATGATGAAGGGAATATTGCTTCCCTTTCAAAAGTTTGTCTTTGGTGAAGTTTAGTTTTCCGGGTTTTTTTTTTTTTTTTTTTTAAATTTCCTAAAATGTGGACTGCTATTATTGTAGTCAAGTGCTGACTAGCCCTAATGTCTGTAAAAGAGTTGAATTTTAATTTTGCTGTATGGAATAGAACATCACTACCTTACAGGTTAGATAACTTTTTTCCTCTATTTATTCCTCTTGAAGCTAACACCCATCTGTTTTCTTATTCAGTGCTATAAATACAACTCTCTTAGGCTCTGCTCTAAATAACTTTTTCTCTTTTCCATACTAAAATTTCCTCTTTCTGGTTCCTTAAAAGAAAGAATTGAGTCTAAAGTTTTGTTTATTCTATAACAAAAGTAAAGATAATATATATATATATATATATATATATATATATATATATATTATATTTCAAAGTTTTTCAAAGAAAAAAAATTGTTGCTAAAAATGACGAGTAAACATTTCAGAATCTATATAATTTTTTAGTATTTTTCTGGGCTTTTTTTTTATTATAATGGATAAAAAATGTTTTAAAAATTATTTAAAAACATTTCTTTAGTAAATTCAAATTTTTAACATTAGGAACTTTTTCGTCAGAACAAATAAATTCAGCAATGAAATGTTTGTTTGGATCGTTAATAAAAATGTCTTTGGCATATTTGGAGGCCTAATTTAGTACAGATGAAGACAAAAGTGTGTGTGTGTGTGAGTGAGAAACAAACTTTATAGTTTCTTTATTTTTATTTTCTCAGTATTTATAAACTTGGAATTTGACAATTTTATTTTTTTAATTTGATTTTAGATATTTCCCCAAATTTTTCTACTTTCATTATAAAAATATGAACTCCATATAAATGTCACATGAAAAATATTTCATACATTTTTCTTAATTTCTCAATGTTTTTCAGTAAAAGTTGTGGAAAATTATCTCGAGAAATAAAAAATATATTAAATTTTCTTTAGGAATATTTTGGTGGTTGTGTATTTTTTAATGGAAAAATCTATCTAGTGTGACCTTTAGAACTTGTCAACCTTCAGTTGACTGTCCCAGATTGGATTTCAAGTGCAGTTTATTTAATACTGAAGCTTTGTATATATTTAAATGAGAAATGATTGTCTTTGCTATGAAGATAACAATTGTATGAATCAGGTTCTTTTATTATTACTTTACTGTTTCTGTTAGATTATTTGGAAAGTAAATCTTTCTGATTTGTAATAAATGGTAACTTTATTCTTTCACATTTTATTGGTTAATAATTACTATACAAGCATATATGCAAAAAATTAGTACAAAGTAAAAAGAATATTTTTGTCATTACCAAAAGTTACAATTCTTTTGAGAATATACTTTTTGCTTTTGATAACTGCTGTTAAATACTGATAATCAACATTTAGATGCAACTAAAGATTCCTCAATGATGAAAATAACATGTAATAATAAAACGCTTTTTTCTTTTTTTTTCTTTTTTAATACTTGCTCTTCATAAATAAATTTTTTACATTTTTGTTATAATCTGAGAGAATATTTTGCCAGCAATGAGTAAATGTAACTTTTTAATAGATGATATATCTAAAAGAAACTTCAACATAAAATAGGCTTTTACTGTTTTTTTTTTTGTTTTTTTTAAGGGGGTAATTTATAAAGTGACCTTTTTAGTGATGTAAAATATTTTGAAAACATTGTTAAAAGTAAAAATTTTCATATTTTTTTTTTACTTTGTATTAATGTGTGTGATTTTATATATATATATATATATATATATATATATATAAAGTGGTTTCTTTTTAGTCTGTTATCTAGAAAATGATGAAAAATAGCATTTTTGGGTTGTCTAAGAAGTTTAGTATTAGTCATATGCTCTTGAGTCAGAGTCAGCTGCAAAGAAGTTGAGTTTTTGAACTTGTCACACGTGCCAAGTTTTAGTCTTGAAAAGGTTAAGTGATTCTGTTGTTTGTGCAGATGTCCTCAGCATTTTTACAACTTTAATATTTGTTAAACATTGAAAAGAAAGTGTGTAGCAATAAGACACTCCTACCATTTGTTGATATGTTGTGAGAAAGCTTAAATAAAATCCTGTTTAGTTTATCATGCAGATTTTATTTCATCAACTTAGCATTTGTTGAGACCAGAAAGAATTAAATAATGTTTCAGGAAAGTATATTTTATTTTTGAAAGATTTTTTAAAATATTTTCTTATACAGCAAAGTATTTTGCTTATTGGAAATATTAAATTTAATCTATTAGCTTGAATTAAAACTAAAGTAAAAGCTTCAAGAAAGATTTTTCATTTTCAAAAATTAATTTTAAACCATAGGTATCACTTTTCTTCAGAGGTACCTATAAAATGCCAATATACATACCAATAAGGATAATCATTAATTAACAGTTCCCCAAAGATTCTGCTGCTTCAGACTCAATTCTGTTTGTAATTATTCAGGTACTGAGGGTTGAAAAGCATGGGTGGTTTGAGAATCTTTTTTTCCTCCTGTTTCTGTAGCTTAATTTATACATTTAACTAAATTGTAATTACCAGTGAAGAAGTCTAATGGTGAAAAATTACCAGATGACAAAATGAAGTGGGAATTGATGAAAGGAAAGAATGTGACCTGAGCACTGTTCTAAAAACTGTAAGCTAGAGACATATCTTGTTAACAGGATATCACTTGGCCATCTTTGCTGCTGCTGCTTTTTTCCTTACCAAAGTCATTTTTATGTGGAGTTCATAGAAAAGTAATTATATCCCTTTTTTCTACTTGATGTACTAATAAATATATTTCTAAATTTTCAGATATTCTAATTTTTAAGGTGTTAAAACAAAGGAAAAAAAATTATAATATTGATTTTTCTTTACTGTAATAGTAATATTAGTTGTTTCACTTCAATGGAACATTAGGCATTCATTGATGGAGCATCCAGTACTGCTGTCAGTTGAAATTTGTAAAATCTTTCTCAAGACCAGCAGAAGTTATGGGTGTTTCCTTCCCAAATGTTTATTTGAAGTAGTGTGGAAAATCAGCATCTTGATTATGTCATTATTTTTCTCTTTTAGTTACATGTGATATCTATTTTAGTTGTTGGTGGTGTTACTAGTTCTCATTGATATGGTTTCTATTATTTGCTACTGTTCGTTATTTGTTATTCTCTAACACCAGTCCACAATGTTCAAAGAAGGATGGACAAAACCTACAGATTTCACTTGCTCAAAGCCGTTTTTAACCATTTATCTTAGAAAGTGATTGTATACAGTTTAGATATTTCTGAATTGGTTTGGTGTAATGCATGGAATCCATATGAAAATCTTGATCTGACAAAGTTATTAAAGAATATGGCTTTAGTCTTCAGGTTTTGTAGCAATTTGCAGTGTTGGGCAAAACTACCTCTAGCACAACCTATTCTGTGTTCAATTTCCTTTTCTCCTTTACTAAATTTGTTATAACTGATCCATACGCCTACACCAAAGTATTTGTAATATTTAGTGTTTACTAATTCAACATCCTGAATCTTTGTGATACATTCAGGGTAGGCATCATCACTGCTTTTCATTTCAATTCCAGATCATAGTTTCTGTTTTAGAAAGGTTATCAGGAGTCCTACATTTTTAAAAACACTTTGATTTTCTGTTCAAAGTCATTCTTATCCCAATAATGAATACCTATGTCATCAGCATAGAACCACACACACACACACACCAAATCATCATCAGTAAACTGTTCCCAGGAGTGGAGCTAGGATTGTTGTCAGATTTATTGGGATTGTTGTGTAGTAGTTCCATTTGGAATGTGATATAGAATGCTTAAATGATCAGAGCCTGTCTCTTCACATCTGTGTTTGTAAATGTGCAGGGCATAGTCTAGGAAAATATTAAACAGACTGTGGCTAACATTTCCTCCTTGTTATATTCCTGATGAAGTTTGAAATATTTTCCATATTGGAGTCAGTCATACAAAATGTTGTAGACTGATACAGTTCCTCTATTAGATTGATGGATTCAGGACTTGAAAGGCAGTTTTGATGAGAAGAGGAAGTCTCTATTGATGTGCTCATATGCTGCTGTGAGTTTGACAAAATGGGTATACAATTTCCTATTAGAGATGTAAGCAATTTCTTGGAGTTGTTTGATTATACATATGCCATCACTGCATCCTTTCTTTTTATGTGCCATGTCCTTTCAGGATGTAGGCGATCATGGCTCTCCACCTCCCTCTAACCCTTGCAGCTCTCAGCAAGTTCCTTCCGTCTGCTTCCTCCCCCAGACCACATTCTGTCATCCACCTGCTCAGGCTTATCAGGTATGCCACACGCTGCTTTCCCTTGTCTCTCTCTTTCCCTCTATTTGACCCATGAGTATCAGATTCTCCAGGCCCTCCTTCCTCATTATGTGTCCCAGAAACTTCAGCTGCCTCTTCCTGATGTTAAGTATAAGCCTCTCCTTGTTTGCAACCTCTCTAAGACCTCATCGTTGCTCACATGCTCAGTCCATGATATCCTTAGCATCCTTCTGTAGAACCACATCTCTGTCGCCTCGAGTCTCTTCTTCATCTTTGAGGAAATCGTCCAACATTTGCTGCCGTAAAGAAGGACAGATGTCACGTAACAGCTCAATATTCTTTTTTTTGTTACCAAAGAAATCCTCCTGTCTCACAATACTCTGCCCAGCTTTTTTTGAATGTGTCCTTGGCCATCCCAATATGTCTACGGATCTCATGTCGCACTTACCGTCCTCTGTCAAAACACTTCCCAGATATTTAAACTTCCGCGTCTGCTTGATTCTAGTGTTCCCTACTTGCAAATAGTATTTCAGGCTCTTCCTCTTACTAATGACCATGCATTCCATCTTCTTGTAGTTTATGCTTAGTCCCTTCTTCTCACTCTCCCTTGCTATCTTCTGTAGGAGATTTTTTAATTTCTCTTCTTTCTCTGCTATCAGTACTGTGTCATCTGTGTATCTTATGTTGTTAAGGTTGTGGCTGCCAATGCTAAATCCCGGTCGGGTTTCCAATTCTCTCAGGATTGCCTCACTGTATAGGTTGAACAGGTCGGGTGAGAAGACGCATCCTTGCTTCATGTCCCTTTCTATTTTCATATATTCACTGAACTCATTCCCTATGTGTATACATGCTGTTTGCTGCCAGTATAGATTCTTGATTGTTCTGATATTCTTC